GAATTGAGGCAGTTCTGAAGGCAAAAGGGGGTCCTACCCGTTACTAGCATGGGGTACCTAATCAAGTGGCCGGTGAGTGTAGTTTCAGTGGTTGAAGTGGCCTACTATAAAACAACCCTGTAAATCATAGTTTATTACCATTTTAAAAATTATGGTGGAAGATGTTCTTTTTCCAGGTGGATCATCAAAATAAGTGGTCGTCTTAAATGTCAATCATTCTGTTGATAGGTTTACATAAGGCCGTCCTCCGTGCCCGTTCCCATTTTCACTTACCGGTGGTGAGTCTGACAGTTTGCAAAACTTCTTTTGGAAAGTAAGCTTGTATGAGCAACTTTTAAACAGAGCGTGCACGAGGAGACATGGGCTCATGCACACTCTTGCACGTGTTGAATAGGCGTTCGCTCTCGGTAACAGGTACAGTGTTGTGCATGTGCTGCTTTTTTTTTTTTAAGTGGAGAGGGCGGGTCTTTTAAAAAGTTTGCAAAAATCTTGAATTTTTCAAATAAGATGTTTAAAAATACGAAAGCTAATTTTAATTTCTTGCACAAATAGAATCCAACAAAAACAAAAATAAAACCCCAAACCATGAGAAATACACAATTTAAATAAACAATGGATAAATCTTTGAAATACAATATTTCATTTAAAAATTAAAAGAGAGAAGCTTTACAGCTTGTTGAACGGTAGAAAAAGCAAAGACTAGAAGGTTGATTTATTTCACACTTCTCTCAATTTTATTGAGCTGCTTTCAAAGATGAATGAATGCACTCTAGAAGCTCTACATACATAATGTACCCTGATTGTTAAGACTTAAGCTGTTGCTTAACTACAAGATATTAACAATCACAATTCAATGTGAGGTTGATGTTTAAAAGATAGTCAGGAAAAAAAAAAAAAAAAAACTCTGGGGAAAAAAAATTAAATAAACTGAGAACATAACTCAACAGGTACATAATGCAGAACACTGAATAATAAGAATTAGCCAGGAAAGTCATTTTTGAAGGGATTTGCTGTCTGCAGAGTTAATTCAATGAGCAGCTTTAGTGATTATTTAAAGCGATGCACTGCAGAATGTCATCAATGGATCTTTAGCAAAACATTTTCAAATGATGTAAAGCAAGAAATGTGATCCAGATGCAATCCTTGCTTTTGGATCGATTAGTCACAGTAATGCTAAACATTTAGACTAATTCTAAACGCTAAATACTGAAAAAACATTTTTTTTTTTCCTTTTGGAAAAAAAGAAGCAAGCAGCAGTCTTAATACAGAAAACCTGTTGGTCAGCTGCAGTTTAAAGGTCTGCTGCCTTTTTTTGCCTGATTTCACCACGTAGCATGTGCAGATTGAAGCAGAGTGTTAGAGGTATCACAGAACAGAGGAACTAGAACTGGAACCTTTGCATTCCTGTTAAACACACAATATTTACCGTACAGTGCTGCATTCAGCAGTGGTGGGAAAAGGAAGGGAAGTTGTTAGTTATTCACTACTTCAAGGGTGTTAATTTCTAGTCTATAAGCCTTTTAGCCTTCACATTAAATCCGACATAATACTTTTTCATCAAGTTTTTTTATATATTTTTTTTAGAGGATGCATCCTCTAAAATGCATCATTGTCATCGAAGAAACCTTTGAAAATCTTTTTTTATCAGTTGCTGATGCCATCACTGCCCTTCCCAATCAGTTGCAGAAACAGGTGGAGAGACTGACGCTTTTCTAAAGCTCCGTGGAGCAAAGAATCATCTCTGCAAACCTGCAAAGGGTGCACTTTGCTTTTCTCTCATTTACAATCAAAACAAAGCCTTTTGCATCACCCTTCAATTTACCATTTTTACAAATGATGCCTTTTAATTAACCGATCACAGCAGATAGCCAAACTACTTAAACATCCCATATCGGCTCGTCTTTCTCCGTTAGAAAAACAGAAGAGCAAAGACGGTGCAGGATTGGCCGGTTCACACTGGTAAACTAGCATTACCAGACATTAGGCAGGGCGGGTCAGCTGATATTTAATTTGTTGCTCTGACAAATTTCTGTCAGTCATCCTTTTTCATGCATTCTTATATATGTGTTTTCATTTTGATCATTATTTTTATTTTCACTTTTGATTGCTTTGCAGGTTTGTAACTATGGACATTGTTATATTTAACTAGATGGCTCTTCACCACACTTTGAAAGTGCTTAATAAATGTAATTATATGATTAAATTTAGCGGGACTGTCACAAAATGACAATTTAATAAATATTACATTGTAATAATTCTTTTTTTGGCAATAGTGACTGTATCATGTTATATACAGCTGTGTTCAAAATAATAGCAGTCCGTCATCTAAGCAGATCATAAACACGTTTTAGTAGAACTTAAGATTTCTACATGAGAAATAGAGATCAAAAAGTCACACTATAAATGTTCCTTGTTCTGTGTTACTAGATCAATGATTGAAAGGGTTTTGTTGAGACAAATTTGGAAGCAAAACACAGAAAATGTTGCTTAAAAATAGAAATTAAACCCAGAATGATATGCAAGGAAAGAGACCTACTATTTGCACAGAATGAAGAATAGTAATAAATGTCAAGAGGCCAACCAAAGATGAAATGTCATTTGAAAAGGATCTGAGTGATGCACCCAGCAGAGTCTTTTCGTTGAAACACATCTGCTAAAGAGAAATAGGTCAGTTTGTGCTAACCTGACTCCGCCAGATGGATTTGCTCCACATATCCATCTGGAAACCTTCCGTTGAAGTAATTTTGGGAAGGGGCAAAAATACTGGTTAGCTGATTGGCCTATGTTGGTGATAGACGGGCCAAATAAACCAATCAGATCAACGAAGCATATGACGTACTAACAGAGCGACGACGAAGAGGAGCCAATTGATAGATCAAACTCTTGCTGAAACCAGTCGGGAGAAGAGCAAAAACATCTTTTCCTCTGAGAAAAGCCTCCAGAGCAGTGTTTTGCTCTTCTTTCAGTGAAGAAATACTCTGTAATTCCGATAAAACTTGCTCGATAGCCACGCTAACGCTAGTTTCATCGGCTGAAGCCGCCATGTTCTTTAGACTGAACTGTCGAGCTTCTCGTTGCGTCACACCTCAACCCGCCTCAAAGCCAACGCTGATTGGACGTTCATTTGGTGAACTGCTCTAAACTTTCTTTAACGGAGAGTCTCCAGACTGATTAGCGAGTGAAACCTTGAAAGCTCGCGAGATCAGGATGGTCTCACGAGGCTAGGTTTGTGCTGCCTTATTCTGAGGACTAAACACTCTAGAACGGCTGTTTCAACAAGTTGTTTAAAAGGAAACTAAATATTCATCCATCCTCAGTTCTTCATTGAGCTCTTAAAGAAACCTGGATATTGCTGTTTTTGTACGGCCATCTGCACTTTACCACACACTGCTATTACTTTGAAAACAACAGTTTTTTTTTTTTATTTTGTTGCAAACACGGCAATACAGTAATAGGTAGCTTTTTTAAAGCCGGCTTATTACATCGTGTGGATCTCTAGCTGGCCTATATCTAGTTTAGACCTATAGAGATCGGGTCCTTCGGAGCAGCAACTCATTTTCATTCATCCACAGGTCCAGAAAAAACAAAACAAACATTGGCACAAATCTGAAGGTGCTCTACACAAAAAGTGTTCTGCAGAGGGCGCCCAGCACTTTGTTTTAAGCAGATCAAAGCAAGCCAGGCTGCATCCCACTCAAAGATAATGTTTATGTAAGTCTCTGAGTAACATTGAATCAGACAGTTCGTGTTACTGAGTGAGAAAAAGAAAACAAGGCCACTAAAACATAGATCCAAGTTACTGCAGAGTTATGAACTCGAACTAAGACTGACGCAGTTTGGGCAGAGAGCAATTGGTTTTTAATCAAATAGCGCCATTCCTGAACTTATTGAACACTAACGTGCATGAAGTAGCTTATTTTAACAACCCATTTGATGCAAGAAAAAAAAAAAACATGAAAAGTTCAACACTGTACCTTTAAGGAATCAATTTAAAACAATCAGGATCTAAAGCTTTTTTTTCCTTTAGTCAGCTCAGCTGTACTGTAGACGCATTCTCTATGAATAAGAGGAGAAAACAAAAAGCATACAATCCCTTTTAGTACAATGTTATGACAATCAATGTCCTCTGGGTCGCCCAGGTTAACCATAAATGAGCTGAGAGTAGTGTATATTTGAATTCTGTTCTCCTTTGTCTTTGTAAATAAAGATCTTACACCCACTCATCAAAACTAACTTGTGTTCCTATGTTAAAAACACACACATGCTCTCTTTAGGCCACTTTCTTAGGATAGAGCACTTGATGGATGTTTGCACGGGACGCAGTCATCCTATTAGCTGGGATCCGATGACTTGTTGAGCTCAACTTTTACTCCCTTTTCTCCTGCACCTGCACACACAGGAAACGGAGGTAAGCCGTGGAAAACAAAGGCTCAGAAACAATCAGAATCTCTGTTGATCCCTACCTGTTAAGTACTTTTCCTTAGCTCTGGCTCGCTCGTCGGCATCAAAATACCACACTGTGATGGCATACCTAGAGAGATAGAAGGAGACGAGGTGAGCCGCAGCTGAACTGAGGGGTTGGGCTGAGTGTGTGCAGACATTGAAGCCGACCTTGTGGAGAAAGCAGGCTGAACCTCGTGAGGGTTCCGTCTGTCTGACCAGAAGAGTAGCAGACGGTCAAATTTTGGCTCTATATCAGCAAACTGGGCCTTTCCTTCAGGGAAGATTCGAAGCAGGCCACCGTGTTCCTGAGAGAGCAGAGTATCACCATTAGACGACAACAAACCAAAGGAGACGCTGAAACTACAAACATCTGAATCAAGAATGTTTGAACAGCAAAAAGAAGCTTTAGTTTATCAATTAGCGGAGTGAAGCTCTGGAACAGCTTGCCTGAAAACATTAAACAATGTAAAAGCATCCAGCAATTCAAAAAAGAATATAAGAAAAGTATTTTTGATGAATACAAAAAAAGAGTAATATACAAAAAGTTGGTATATTGTTTGTCTTACTGTAAATAATTGTCCTTTACCACCATGACACATGTAACTGAGGGGTAGGTCCTAATAAGCTTATGCTTCATCCTTTTTGAAACATGATGCATGTTTGTGAAGCATTTAATGTAAATATTGTTAAATCATATCATGTTTCAAAATACATGAAATTAAATGAAGAATGAAATCCTACAAAAGCTCATTTATTAGGGATGCACGATATAATCGGCCCCCTATCGGTATCGGCCTTAAAACTGAATATCGGACATCGGCCACCCCACCGATATTTAACCCGATATTTGATCAGCTTCTGAGTTTCTAAAGTCTAAAAAAAAAAAAAAAAAAATACTACTTCTTCCTCAAAGACTTCTTTTTTACAGAATTAAAAACTTCTAAAGATGAGGAAAAAAATATTGATACATTAGAATATCACAATATCTTCATATGCTGATATATTGCCGTTTAAAAACACCATATCAATCTCTTTTACTAATGAAATATTGCTATATGTCATCGTTATGCTACGAAATCCCCCGAAAATTAAAGAAATTTTGCCATATTTTTATATGTTGATATATTGACGCGGTATCGATCTATTTTACTAACAAAATCTCACAAGAATTTGCAAAATATCACGAGTTTGTAACAGAACGATGAAATTTCACGAGACTTTGAAAGTAAAATAGATCGATACCGCGTTTTTAAAAATCAATTTGATATCAGCATATGAAAATATATTTGAGTATATTATTTTTCAAAGTGTCAGAAATGGATAACAAAACTGCTATTTTCAATGACTACTTATTTTTGTCAAGCTTTAACATCGGTATCGGTTATTGGCTACATGAGTTTTAAAATATCGGCATATCGGATATCGGCCAAAATCCCAATATCGTGCATCCCTATCATTTATATCCAAAATGTAAGTAAAGCTTATAGATCAGTTACACCTTGTTAAGCGTCCCAGGCTGCTCACTGATTAATTGTGGCTTCCAGATATTGAAAACACAAAGTAATGTTGGAATATAGGGATATCAAACAAGACTAATAATAAAATATGATTTGCAGCATATGAAAGATATGAAGAAAATCAGTCTGCTGCACTGAGGTTGTGTTTTTATTGGTAATCTGAATAAATAACAGTCTGCAGCATTTACATGTTTGTTTTTATTCCTGCCATAATCTTGTAAAATTTCATAGTTAGTCAACCCCTGCAATTTACAATATTCCTTATAGAAAGCCGGCTGTGGGCATCATTATCCAGGAAAGCTCTAAAAACTCAGATTTATTATCACATATCGATATCCACAGTTGGAAAATATTGGATCACCGTTTATGATTAGGATCTGGATTAGAGAGCTCTGATTTTTTTTTTTTTTTGTTCAAGCCTGTTTACTAACCCATAAGGCAGAATGATACCATGATCATTAAAGCAGGTTTCTGCACTTTTTACTGTGTTAATAAGTACAGTCCTGCCTTAACATGACATCAGCATCATCATAAAAACCGTCAACGGAGTGTAGATGTGGTGCATTAACATTTTCTGGGTGATTTTTGTGCTTAATTAGGATTAAAAAAAAACAAAAAGGGGCTCAAACACTAGCAGATGTCATGGCTGCCTACATTATTGTCAATTCTAGAATCTCACTTTGGAGAAAACACCAATGTCTGGTAGTTTATTCCACCCAACTTTCCATTAAAATGCTCAAATACAACATGCCTGGAATCAACTGCATCCAGATTTTAGGGATCTTGAATCTCTCCGGACCCAAAATAGATTTTTAATTTAAAGACCAGAGCTATTCCTCTTTGTAGATCAGGTTAAACTTCCTTGTGGGGGGAATAAGCAACTGTCTGCTGGACATCTGTCATTTTCATTCCTTAGTCATATATTAAGATTACTGAAGAAAAACACTATATCGGTTTTTTCTTCACTGTCGGCCATAATAATCACAATGAACAAATAGCCTCTGGTTAAAATGAGTTTATAAGATAGAAAAAGATTGAATTTTTGGAAGTTATTTATGGACATGCTCATGTAAAAGCTTATAAAGGCAACCATTTTAAAAACCAGATCAAAGAGGAGCGAGAATGTTTAAGGCAGAGCGCTGTCCAAGCCGGAGGGCCAGGAGAAAAGCTCAGGATAGGAAGCAGCAGCAGGGGACGGCTTTCCTGTAGAGGGATAGGAAGAATAACCCACAGGAAAACTGCTCCGGCTGGATAAAGGACCTGGAGAGTGAAAAAGCAGATTGCTGCAAGCCTGTTGCCTAAATTCTCACTTTGCTGATATGATAGGACCCTGCGTTCACACGCAAACCCAGAGTGCTAAAAAGGTGCACGCCCTTTGGTGGGCATGAAATGTTATTCTCATTTGAAATATGTTGACTGGAGGGGAAAACCAGTGGTGTGACTACCAGGAATTAATCAAAACACTGGAACCGCAACAGGACAGATGGACTAAAGACCAAAGGGTTTAACACCAGTTTAACCCTGACGTAATGTGCAGTCTAACTAAGAAAAGGCCAACGCCTCATATTACTAAACTGATTTGGTGTGAGCATCAACACCTGGAGGGTGTTAGGAAAATCTTAGGGCATTAACAGCTCTCTGAATAATAATAAAAAACAAATAAAAACCAAGATGGTGGGTGACAGCAGCCCTGTAGAAAATTCTTTTTGTCTCTTCAGTCTGTCAGACAATGTGCCAAAGTTTGACACCCTCATGACATCTGAGAGAACCTCTCACAAGAGGAAGTCACGTGCTGTCGCTGCAGAAACCAGCAGAGCTGTTATCTTCCTCATCAAGGTTTACAGTAAATCGGACTCATTCTGAAAAATACAGGCTTTATTCACTGCTTAACTGACGGTTAATCATGTGCACTTAAACATGCAGCGCCATGCTAAAGAATTCATTGAAAGGCCACACAGCTCACATATCTTACTGGGATTTTATCAGATTGTCTAACATAACGTAGTGCATAGCTGTGAAGTGAAAGGTACAAAAATAACCTTAGAGTTTAAGATCTCATAAGTAAACATTTGTATTTAGTCGCCTTTACTCTGACATTGCTAAATATAATCCAGTGCAGCCAACTGCCTACACATGTCTCAAAATAAATCCATCACCCCTCGCTTAAGAAAAGAGAAGTGTAAAAAAACTGTAAACCTTAGACTGGATAGTTCAGATAGGTTAGACAAACGGGTTAATAATCTGACAATCAGCTAAAATTCCCCCTGCCGACTCTGAAGGAGCTGCAGAAAAATGAAACTCTGGTGGAAAAAAGAGCAGACATGACAGCCATCAGTGATGCAATCTACTAATCTGCCATTGATGGAAGAATATTGTTGGCAGAAAGTCATAAGAAGTCCTGTCTGCAGTTTTATATAGGCCACAGAGGGGGACAAAGCAGTAACAATTTTAGGTCTACATAAAGAGGCTGTGTGTGAATGTCCACCCTAATCACTGTATAGGGCACTATATAGTGGTTACGCCATTTTAGATGAGTGTCCAAAGGTCGAATAGATGAAAAAGTAGTGGATTGGAAATTTCCCACAATGCACCTTGAAAAGTAGTGACCATCCGTGGTCACTAGACGAGTAGATATGCTTTATGAGGAGAGCTCTCCTCGCAAAGCATAATGGGATTTGTTGTCACAGCGGCTCGTTGTTGGGTACAAATAAAGGCCAATTTATGCTTTTGACGCATAGCCTCTGCAACAGTCAAATCTGTCTCTGTGCTGACTACATGTCGGACAGTCGCAAACCCGTGCAGACCTCATGCGGAAGTGCGCAGACAAAAAGCAGCTGTGAAAGGTCCTTGTTATGCCTTTCTGGATGTCTGTGTGGTTTTCCTTCTCGATTGGGTGCCGAGGAACAACTACAATGGACATCCTAAGCGACCTCCTATGTCTTTTTTCCAACTTCAATAACAGAACCTGTTCCTCTTCGATGTCTAGCAATTCTAGATCCATCTCCGTGACCATGATAGTTTGCAGACGCGCCATTTTTGTTTTGGAAGATAAACATTCCCACAGGCGCCGCCGAAGTTCTCATGATCATCCGCCAAATTTCTTGAGAGTTCTCGAATACACTCTGACCTTGTGCTTTGGCGGGAAACTGCTGTGCTTCCCTAGAAATTCCAGCCCGACAGTGCAGAAGCATACCAGCCAAACTGGTTTGCAACCAGACCCAGGCGACATCTGATGTTTGCGGTTGCAGAAGTATAATCTGCCCTTAACAAAAATGGCGTAAGCACAGTTCACAGAGGCGGAGTCACGTGACCAACTGGAAGCCAAAAATAGTGATCATCTGTCCCAACGGTCAGTTAACCGAGTTCACTATGAAGTCCACTATATAGTTCCTACTCTATTTAGTGATTGAGGGATTTATGGGTCAGGGCGGACATTCGGACACAGCCCCACTGTAGATCACCCTAAATGCACCATTCCAACTGTGAAACATGGCGGCTGGCATCATTACTCTTTGTTAAATTTATTTAGATTGAATGGCAGATAGATGGACCTAATCTTAGAAGAAAACCTTAACCAGACTAGAGATTGGGTGAGTAGTGGACCTTCCAGCATAGAGCTCCAACATAGAACTGCACTGGGTCAAAGCAAAACTATTCATGTTTAAGTGGCCTAGTCAAAGTCCACAACTAAATCTAGTAGTAAATCTTTGGTAAGACCTGAAATCTGTCTTTAAAGACACTTTCAAGCCAATGTGACTGACCTTTAATGTCTATAATCGTTAAAGGTTCCACCAATTATAGGTATTTTGTTTTAGCTGGAATGGTTCTAGTAGTTAATAATATCAAAATATTAATAAAATATTGTTTATTTTCCCCAATAGATTTAGAAGTGCTTCATAGAAGTTCACATGTAACCCCCGGCTCACACCGACTCCGGTCTTACCGTTGCGGTGCGGTGGGTGCGGCGCCGCAGTGATTCCAAGTCATTAAAAAGACGAAAACCTCTCTCACCGGCTGCTGAACTGTCCGGCTGCGGTTACCGAGACACTTCGGCGCTGCAGAAAATTCAGCAAGAAAGCTATGCTTGCGGCGTGCCGGAGCCCTCCGCAACAAGCTCTCGCAAATATCCTTATTTGGGCCGTGTTATCGCGTGAAGTTACGTGAACTCTAGTGAACTTCTGTTCTCGCGAGTTAAATCTCCGGACCTGTTGCCGGAGCCGCAGAGCCGCACCCCACCGTAGTCAAAAGGGCGGTGTGAGAGGGGGTGTGCGGGAGTTGCGGTCTCCGTCGGCTCAGTAACCACACCGGAGCCAGTGTGAGCAAGGGGTAAGCCTCCCTCATTATGGAATTTAAATGCTTCAGTTTCAAATTCTTTATACAAGTTGAAGGTTCTCTCAGTTGTCTTGCAGCTTTAAATAGTTTGTAAAGCAGCAGCACAGCTCACCAAAGATGTGGTCGGGTTAATAAGAGACCAAATGACAATGGTTCATTTGTCAACAGTGTTCCAGATCAGTCAGGGGATGATGCATGGGCCTTACAGATATAATGCAACACCTTCAATTAGTTGACACCACCCACACTGTAACCGTTGCAGGGAAAGGATTTACATAGGGTTAATACAGGAATGAGTAACTCTATTTTAATGTTTTTTAATGCTCTTAGAAATAATTTTAATGCCATCAACAAGAACCCATGACTCTCATATATATATATATATATACAACACGGCAAAATCTTTCGTCATCTTTACCGTCGACAGGAAGTAGCCGTGTCCCGAAATCCTTGTTTTCCTGTCACTTTTGTTGAAAATTGCTTTTTCCCCCCATTCTCTAGCTTTTTCACATTGAGCTTCTTTTCAAAACGTATGTCTTTACGATCAACTTGAAGCGGAACCATCTATCTATCTATATATATATATATCTATATCTATAGATATAGATCTATATATAGGCCAATATTTATATTTTTTTATTTATTTATGTCTAAATAAAGCATTTTAAATGCCACTATAATCATGTTTAATGAGTTTTATTGCCAATTAAGGCCTTAATTTAAAAAAATTATAATTTAATGACTTAATGCTTTTTGATGACCCGTGGAAAGCCCTGTTACAATACAGATAAACAAGGAAACTTGGCGTCTCTTGACCAAGTCTGAAAAAAAAAGTGGGAAGATTAAGAAAAGTAATAAATCAAAATGAATGGATCTAAGCCACATCATTTGTTTGCCGTTTCAAGGTGCATAGGTCATAAAGGAAGCCGATGTATTGACATAAAAATCCAAGTCAAATCCACAACCTCAAAGTCAAAATGAGTTAAGACAGCAGGAGAATAAACATGCAGAACACTAATTAAATTTGGAACCAACTTGAAAGTTTATCATAAAATTAAAAAAGGAAAATTGTCTAAAGATAAACATAAGTAAATGCTCTTTCTTCTACCTCCTAATATACATTTTCTACTGAATATCAGTCTGCTGTTACTGTTTGAAACCAAAATCCTTGTTTATGCTAACAATCTTAGCCAATAAAGCTAATTGTAATGGTTAATGATTTAGCATAATTGAAAAGTGACCAAAATATGACTGGTTTGTAAAGGGTCAGAAGATCATGATTGTCTAATTAACTGATACAATAAATAGTCATAAGTGACGTGTAAATTATTAAACACTACTTTATCTAATCGTTGGGAGTTTGTTTTTTTTAAACTACTAAGACTTTGTTTTTTTGTTTTTTTTTTTTACAATCTTTACTATGATCCAGCTTCAACAGGTGGAGTAAGGTATTTTAGGGCTGCAACTAACAATTACTTTGCAAATTGATTAATCCGTCATTTATTTTTTCGATTAATCGATTAATAATCAGATAGCCAAAGGTTTCTTAAAAAAGACATTTTATGAAATTAAACCAAGTTAAACTAAAACTTTTCCACTTGAGTGCTGGATCGAGAATATTGAAAGAGAAAATGTTAAATGCAAAATGCTTTACATATTTTTATTTTTTTTTTTTACAATTTTGATATAATAACTGCTCTAAGTGGGTCGTTCTGTCAACTAAAGGCACGTTTTAGAATCTCTCTACTCCAGTTAATGATGAATTGATTACTAAATTAGTAGCCGATCATTTCAATAATCGATTAATCACGATTAATCTGATTTATTGTATCAGCCCTAATGCATTTCTTCAAATATACTAATCATGTGTCTAATATACATTGTGGCTTTACAACTTTTTTTTTTTTTTGCTTAAGACAGAGAACAAACAACAAAACATAAAATATCCTTGCAAAGATATCTGTGGTATATTACAAAGAGTAACTTGTCTTAAATGCATAAAAATACATATATGCGCATCTATATGAACCCTCTTCCTTTTTTCCTTTTATATTTATAATATTAGAGTTAGAAGCTGCAAAGTTTAAAAATATCAGCCATCTTCAGGATCGACCAGGTTTAAATCAGTGTTTTTATTAAATGCAGCAAAATATTTTCAAATGCCTTCTGCTATCCTTCAGCATTTAAGTTACTCTTTCCTAGGGGTGTAAATAATAATAGTTTTGTATCGATGCATCGATCCAACAGCCGACAATCCGATGCATCGATTCATGTATTTTTTTTCCTCCGGTCTATTTTTATCCATTTGCTCCTGGGCGTAATTCTCCCTCCCGTGCTGCGGTGGTGCTAAACCTATTTTACCCTCCTACCGCACTTCCTGGTTATATTACAGCAGTTTGTTGCAGTGAGCTTGACACAGACATTTTTGATTTATGCTAAATATTAAAGCGTGGTCTGTGCTACACACTGTGGATCTAGATACGGCCGAGGCGGTGAGGAAGTGGGGACGAGTTTAGTCCGACGACGGAGGGACATGAGGGCCAAAAAGAGCGGAGATCCAGGTGGAAAAAGGGGCCCAGCGTTCTCGCGCACCTCGCTCTTCTAGCGGGTCAAACTTTACGAGTTGTTTTTCGCAATTTCAGTCATAAAAAAGAAAAAACAAGCCGGCCTCCTGTCTGCGGCACTGTCTGCAGTCAGCTACAATTTGGGAGAGGTGCAGCGGAGCGTCTGTGGTGGGGGCGGGACGTCTGGAGCCGAGGTATTGCATTGCACTCATTGCACTGATTTTGTGCAGTATTTTTTGATGCAAGGCCTTTCAGAATCTTTTTCAGTGAATGAGTTGGAGTACAACTTTTTAATTCTGTTATTTTCTGTTGTTTCTCAAAAAAAAAAAATGCATGACGATATTACAGCTTTCATTGATTTATGTCAAATTTGAAACCTTGTCTAGCCGGTAAGGTAAAAAAAACAAAAAAAAATTACCAATTAATCGAATCGAATCGTGGTGTATTCCTGAGTATCGAAAATAATCGAATTGTTGGGTCAGGAAATCGATACTGAATCGAATCGCCTTGATTGATGTGATTTACACCCCTTCTCTTCCATTAGTAAATTTAACAGCATTTGTTTAAACCACTGTACCGCATGTGGTGTTGTAATTTTCCTCTGCTGAAGTGCAATACATTTCTTAGAAAAGAACGGGCTTAGTTCCAGAAACAGCTTCTTGTTTTTATCGAGTATGTCTTCCTGGATATATGCCTAGAATAAAAAGATTGATGGAAAAGGTTTTAAAGTATTTTTTTTTTAACTGAAGCTTCCCAAAACTTGCGTGTATAATTTAACATTTCCAGAAACAGTGGGATGATGTGTCTCTGCTCTCAGTAGATTTTGTACATATATCCAGGTTATTTGTGTTAGACGAGCTCTTTATAAACTCACCACATATTTTTGACCCATTCATTTTAATCTGGTCACTGTGGTCTCTGAGTCAGCACAAGCTTTTTTCAATCACGATCATCAACTTCCCACTGCAGATCCTTATTCAGACCAACCAGCCGTCAGGCTCTAAAAATCAGAACTGATCCTCTTCTTGCAGCATATTTTTTATTTCACTGGTTTTGTTTTAGTTATATTTTTTTTCTTCTAAATTCTCAATTAGAGATATTTAAACTATATTTTTTATTTAAAGTTAATTGAAATGTAATTTTTCAAAGCAGATCATTATACTTGAATCTGGTATTTATCTTGGATTTGCTTTTCCTGACGAAAAGTCTTGGTTGCCCAATAACCAGCTATAAAAAACCTCACTCTTGCCTTCTATTTATGATAATTTTATACCTAAGCTCAGAAACATAATGCATTGTTTACTTTAGAAGAACAGCATTATTTTTAGCTATTTTAAACATTCCCCTCAAAAAATTAAATAGCTAAAAAAATTATCAGAGTATCTCATATAACCAGCAAACTTGAATGAGTTCACCATCTCTTCCCTTCAATTTTTTTCTTTCCCCTTATTTCTAACTGACAGTTTTACTCAAAAGCTATTCTCAGTAATAATAATAAAAAAAACATTCAATCCATTCATTCTGATTCTGTAATTCAACCTACATTTTTGGAGCACTTTCTTAAAAATCAGCTTGCAGAAAAAGAAAGTTCTTTAAATCAACTCTTTTCTCAGACTTTACTCTCATACCTTGGCATTCCAATCTCTGTTAAGGTAATATATGCATGTGACGCAGCGTCCGTCGCCATTGGGATTATCCACATGGCGCACATAACCAGTTCCGTTTCCCGGGTAACAGGCCACCATTGCCTGAGGAGGGAGATAGAGATGGAAAAATGTGATTAGTATAAACAGACTCACAGTGAAACAAGCACGCTTCTACTGTCACTAACCTTCTAACGGACATTAAGTTGGAAAGTGAAGGGAAAACGAGTTCAAGAGTGAATGAAACTCAAGTCAACCTGTTCAAACAGTAAACGTAAATTAAATAAAAATGGAAATAAGCAGAGGCCGGATTCACACCGCCTGCCCTATAATACCCCTTCTGAATCATGTGAGAACATAAACCAGGAATATTGTGCTGCATGATAACTTCCCTTTGCCCTTTCCTGCTGTTATAAGACTTCCACGATCTGCTGACAGTTGGCTGTGAAACCCACTAGCTCTTGTATACTTCTTGGAGTAAACAGAAAACTGGCACTCTGTAGAAAATACCCCTCGATGAAAAGGAAAAGCACCAGAGGTAATTCCAACATCCTGGACTAACAGGAAAAACATACATTTTTAAAATAGGAAAAAAACAAGTAACATTTTTCTTCCTGGGTGTTTGAAACAAGAAGCTTGCTTTAGGAATCAAATAAAAAATACATAATAAAGTCTCAGTATCAGAGGGCTCTTAAGAGTGTTTTTAAACCTTCCATTTCTTTCATCACATTATTGAATACCCTCCCATATATCATAACCGTCAAATTCAAAATGGTACAACAGCAGTAGTTTGATGTTTTTCCAGGTATCTGTTGGATAAAAAAAAGTCAGACATCTCAGTCCAGAAATGTGCAGTTCTAGAGACGGCTAAGATACTGTGAAGAACCTTCAAACTCCCAGGCCTCTGGTAGAGAACCAGAGCCTGAAGAAGATTTCCCCGCCCTCAAGCACCAGGGGTTTGGTGAGCGAGCAGTTTGGTGTAGACACACAAAAAATAACTGTATAATTGATCCAGAGTTATTTGCATCATTTGCATTTTTACAAATGTATTAAAATTGGCAGAAATTTCAAAAAGGAACGTCTGAGATCTAACCGTAACATCCTAAATATAACAGTTCATTTGCGCCCCTGACCTTATGGCTACAATAAACTCTTAAACACACCTTATTATACATCATTTACATTTTTTAAAGAAATGCAGGGATAATGATTAACAGTTTATAGATCTCAGATCCAGGCTCAGATCTTAGAAAACACAGCAAAAATTGCAACATTTCCTATTTTAATATAGGCCACTAAATCAGTCAGCTAGTGCTCCCGTTGCATACCAAACAGTACCACAAGTGTAATTTAAATACTTACACTTAAAATTATTCTTTTAGGTTTATTTATTTTACCAACAGGTTTCTTGAGTTTGGAATTAAATTCTTTTTGCAGTGGGCTAGCCAAAGACTTCAATCGGACGGAGAATCAGTGGAGAGAAGTAAAAATTAGGGTGATGGCAAAGGAGGCTTTCAAATCTCACACTTAAAGCTCATGAGATAAAGCTTCCATTTATCAACGGAAACATGGAAAACGCTGCTTGGCAAATATAAAAAAACATTTTTTAAGGAAAAAATAAAAATTTTGTTTTTTCTCTCGGAACTGAGTAAACAGTTTTGGATGGAATAAGTTTGTTTTTAAACTGATACTGTTTTTATTGCTTAATTTCCATCATAAAGATGCTCGTTTCCATTGAGGAACAAACATTTAGATTTGATTTTTTTTGGGGGGGATCCGTCCAAATCCGTCTCATCTTTCAGCCAGCTGACAAGCAGTGCGCAGCAACAAGGGGTCTTGCTGCTCCATGCTTCATCGAGCTGGAGAAAAACTCTGCTGCCTCTGTTTTACACAACTGGGTGGAAACTGATATAAAGGACTGAACATTTTAATGGTTTTGAGATCGTTTAAAACTGCTGCATACGCTGAAGTATTAACCTGGCTGAATACAGCAACAGTGTCTGAGCTGAAAGTGGATCTGAGGTGACCGGTAAACATGCACCAACAGAAGCAGATCAGCCCTCATACACAGCAGCATCAACACAGTGATACGGTGGAGAAAAGGCAAGTTGGGCCACATTCTTTCAGGAACTTGCATCAACATAAACCATAGCAACATTATTATAAACTCCCGAAGCAGAGTAAACCTCTTCACAATTTGTTCTTCAATAGGTGTGTGAATATTTGGATGCAAAAGGAAAATGTCTGCAGAAATGAAAAGACAAGTTAGGAAAAAAAAAAAAAAAAAAAAAAAACTCCATTTAAAAGTTGCAGTCTTTGACATCACATGTGCGCCACAATCTTGTTTTCCTGCGCATCTGATCTGAGCTGCTTGCGTCTGTCGGCATTGTGCTTACATCTACGGAGATGCAGGTTACCACTGGAATGCACGATATCAGGGCCTTCAAAGGTTGAAAACAACAGAACTCCAACGTAAAGAGGAGGGAGGCGGGGGATGCCTCCTCTGGTCCTTTAACATAAAAAAAAAAAAAAAGATGAGGTGATCCTGGAAATAACTGAGTGAGGCTCACGCATAGCCGACAAAAGGACTTCCTGTGTGTAAGACGCAATGGTTTGCTTTTCTGTTTGTTTTGGTGAGTTAAATAGCAACGCAGAGAAAGAGGGAGAGGGGCACAGACAGCGAAAGCAGAGGGGTGGAGCTGCAGCTCACAGGGAGGAATGAACTGCTGTAAACTTTGACTCCTGGCCTCCCTCCAGAGAGAGCACTATTTTAATGGTTGTGCTACGTGCAGAGCGTGAGGAAGGTTGGATTATCCTCCGCTGTGTCACCCCTCCCACTCTTAACTGCTGGGCTCACCCTACCAGACTCGAGATGGGTCAAGTGTGGATTCAGATGTGTGTGAGGGGTGTGTGGGTCGACTTAAGGTGACAGAGAGAACTTCAGCGGACATAGCAGTTTCGCCTTCCTCTGTCCTTCTAGCGGAAGCTCGGCGTCTTCTCTTAAATCTCCAGCTACAGAAGGAAAACTTTTCTTCTTCAGACTTATTTTAAAAAAAAGGATGAAAAGCATGCCAAGATTTTATGACCTATAAGTTTTTGGATTGACTAAAAATAGAAAAAAAAAAACAGAAGGGCACACAATGGAAGTGTGTTGTACTTTATTCACAGAAAATACATCACATAGAGCTATTGTGTAGATGTGCCAACCTTGAATGAAGTGCTGTTTATTTCCAGTTTGCCTTTCATGTGTTCTGGTCATGAGAACCTAACAAGCTGAAGCACACAGAAGAAACACATCTTAAAGTCCTTATTCAGGTGAGAGCAAAAACCTCCAAAAAAAAGATGTGACATATATACCAAAAACGACAGAAGGGTCACTACTGTTTATAATCGGAGAGGTTTTGGATGCATAGATTATTTTTTAAAGCCGCCTTTAAACTTATCCCTCTCTGCTCCTGACCTTTTAAAAATCATTTGAGCTCCCATTTTTTCAGCCACCCACTCTTCCGCGTTCCTCTGTGGCCCTCATTAAGCGGCTGACCTTGCTCCTCATGTTGTTTGTTTACATTCCACAAGCACAGCTTCAGAGGCCAACTGGCGTTTACGTGCAGAGAACAGGAGGAACGGAGGTCACCAAACCGGGCTCTGAGGGGCCATCAATGAGGCTAGAAGGGGCTCCATTTTATTACTCACTACAAACATGAAAATACTAAATAAAATAATGCAGTGTTTACACAACACATTTAAAAGGTTTGGACCTTTTGGTATCCAGGATTTTACAGGTTCAGGACCAAAACATTATGTGGTATTTAAAGTCAACTTAAATATCCTGGTAGCATGTTTCTTCTCAGTACTTTTATAATTCAGTCAAAACAAAACACGTTTGGAAAAAATAATCCAGTAAAAGGTTAAGTGCTTTAAAGAGAAGCAAGTTTAAGTACGAAGGGATAAATGAGCTAAAACATTCAGGCAGCTGGTTGGCAAACAGCCCTGTAGCTGAATAAGAAGATTTTAAGTGTTTCTGAGCCAAAAGGAAAAGTTTTCCAGAGTTACTCATAAAGCTTAAGGCTAATAACTTGGATTTAGAGATTTCTGTAAAGCTAGCCACTTGGTGCTCTTAGCCAGGGCTTTCATTGTAGAGAAAACCTTTGCATTATTTAGGAGAATATATATATATATATATATATATATATATATATATATATATATATATATATATATATATTTAAATATATTTTGGACTTTATTAAACTGATTCAATATTTCTGTATATAAGTTGCTTGTATAAAGATCTACATAAATAGATAAATAATAAAGAGCAGAATCCATTAATACAAAATCCTACATTTATTTTAATGTATTTTTAAGATAACCTGATTACTGGTCTGGTATCACGTCATCTACATCCACTGTGGTGATTGATGGACTGAGGTGGGGCGAAGCGGAAAAGCTGAAAAGGATCTGCTCACTTCACAGGAGAGATCCCAATCCAAACACGGAGCACAAACAGTTTTAGACTGAGACCTTGTAGCAAGAATGAGTGTGGGAATCAAGACAGTTGGAGGAACTCTCCGTTTCTTCTGACATTTTTGCCTACAACGAGTAGGGCTGGGTACCGAACATCGGTTCTTTTATGGTACCGACCGAAATGCTTCGGTTCTACAGAGTATCCAAACATGCCTCGTCTTTCGGTACCAAGTCTCTGTGATTGGCTGTAACACTTAACGTGATTGCGTCATCCGGGTAAAATATATAGTTGGTCGCGCCTACAGCCAGGGCTCATGTGTATCTGTTGTGAACTGGTTGTGAGCGTTGTGGAACCCCTTTAAAATGCCCCCCTAGGTCAAAAGTGTGGCTTCACTTTATTAAGACTGATGCCAATAGTGCGCAATGCAATACATTGTGCACAGAAACAATTGAAGAGCAGAAAGTTGCTCAGTGTTTGACTGCAAGAAGAGCGGACCGCAGCCGGCGCGACCATCCTCCTCTCAGCAGCCCGTGGGCGGAGCAAAGCCAGAGCTGAATGAAACATGCTGCTTTTACACCGGACGCAGCAGGAGCAGCAAAATCGCTCCCTTTTTGCTGCTTGTACCAGCTTCTGACGC